GAAGTTGTCTGCATTAGGGTTTAGCTGCTGGGTCTGGAAGGGGCTTCCTGTTGTTTGTGGCTGATTACGCCCATGGCTAATATATCCTTCCTGTGTGAAAGACAGTAAATCATCCTTTAATGTATTTAATTCACTTTGAAATTTACTAATCTTTTCCATTTGTGTATGCAGGCTTTCTCTCAACTATTGGAGACTCTCTTCTTGTTCATTTTCTCTCTCCTCCAACCACTGCTGGAGTCTCTCTTCTTGTTTCTTTTCTTTTTCCTCCAACAACTGCTGTAATCTCTCTTGTTTCTTTTCTCGTTCTTATTGTTTCTTTTGCTGTTCTTGTATTGCTGCCATCACATCTGCTAAGCTGTAGTTTGATTTGCCACTTCTCGTTTCCATTTTTTTTTCTTTTCCACCCCACTTCTGACACCAATTTGTTACGTCTCTGGTCGTTTGTTAATTTCCGATATAAATTCCTCCCGAGGAACTTCAGCAATACAAGTCCTTTCTTAAATAAAACTAGTTTATTCTTTTTCAATAAAACTTTGCAGTACACAGAATTTCTTCCGTCCCTTTAACTTAAGCACACGCTACAATTCACAACGATTTGCGCACTTTACTTACGGTCACTACCGCTCACTTAACTCAATTATCTGTCTATCTGCAATTATTGTCTCCCTTTATTTGCCGGACTTATATATTAAAATAGAGGGCGTCTGGCAAACACTCGAGCCTTCATGATCCTTCTAGAAACTCATTACGTGTTACCAGAGTCACTTGACTTCCGCTGTCGTAACAGTACATTGACGTAATTTTGAGACAACTGAGGTTGATCCAAAATGCCACGGTGATGCAGCTTCTCGCTCAGAAGATGGAGGTTTTTATTTTTATTATTTACTCTATTAGTTTGTCTGTATTAAGCACAAAGCTCTGCCCACCACAGGTATCGAAACCCGGTTTCTAGCGTTGTAAGTCTGCGGACATACTGCTGTGCCACTGGGGACTTTTACTCTAGTTGACAAAACATTATTTCTTTTCGTGTGTATACTCATATACACAGTACATTTTACTTTTACACCAGCCTGCACCTTCCTCCTTTAATATATTTGGTTTTTATCAATGAAATATTGTTGTATCTGTTATTAAAGACAACAATTTCTGGGCAATACTTGGTTGTGACATACTTCGAGCACATGTCACAAATGACATGATAGTTGAAGCTTTCTCACGATGGAATGTGACGAAAAAGAGATTCTCCCCCAAGAACACACACTGAACCTAATCTTCTTCTTCTTTTGGTTCACATGCCTCTTTAGAAGGAAGCAGCTACTAGTGCTGGCTTCTCATTCATTCTTAGAAGTACTAGACTGTCAAAGAGTACAAAGATATTGCTGCATATTCCATATTGGAAAAATGATTACTGATTTTCTTTTGGAAACCAATCAGAGACAATAATTAGACACTGAAACAGGAACTTGGGATCCACATGGGCTGGCTCATTGTCTATCCATATAGTGGATTTGGTAGTTCATGAATCCTTTGACTGCAATTAACTATGTGAATACCAACCTCTTATCAACACTAACATTGCTGTGTGCTGCTTCGCTATTTGTAATAGCAAAGTAGCGACTCCACTTCATTTTCTAAATTTTGCTTTGGTTATGTTTTTATGCTGTCTAATAGTGTTGAATGACACATCACTGAGCCTCGTATTGCAGCACTGATGTTGCACAAATTGGCATTGATAGTGCCAATAATATATGCTATAACTTTTCTATTATTCGTTTCCACATGAGGCCACTCATTGTCAGCTTCTTACAAGCACTTGCTCTATTATGGGCTGAGATATAAGTTTAGCGTACTGTATATCACTGTGTCTCAACATATGATAGCTCTTCCTGAAATGTTATAAAATATTTTGATGGTCACGTTCAAGGACTGACATCTTTTAGATACAGTCTGAGAGACTTGGTGTATAGGTTCTGGTCCATAGCTTTATAAATTGCATCGTCTGAAAGATAAATGCAAAGTGCATGGTCCAGTCACCCGTTTCCCTGCCTTCAAAAAAATGTTTCAAGATGTCTGTTTAGTCAAAGTACTGAGGCCAAAGTTTGGCTGTGTAGACAATCTTGCTAGTTTCTTCAAATGAAGACTTGGTGTAAACTTTTAATATCATGTTTATTTACATCAAAAGCAGAACAGATCATGAATAGAAATTTCATAGAAATCAAGCACCATTTTAGTACAGAAACAGTTAGATTCTAAATATAAAAAAAAGCAAAAATCATTGTCCCTGTTTTTGTCAACTTTTTATATTTAGCTAAGCATAAATTTCATTACAAAACCCAACTTGTTTCGTTATATTGCATTTTTTATACCACAGATCTGATTCTGACTATACTAGGGGATACAAATTATTTATAATACATGTCTCTGGGCTTTGGGAGGACCAGAGGGAAATCTAAGAGTACTTACAGGGTCTCAAACACACATTCTTAAAAATACTGGCAACAGATACCTTCCCGTACCACTATTTCACAAAGGGAAATAAATTAGCATGCTGATTATTAAAATGATGACAAAGAAGGACTTAATCCACTTCTTCAAATGTTTCTGGCAGGCTGTATCATGAAATGATTGGACTCAAGAACATGCGGTAGAGTTTGTGATGTTGACCTTGGTTGGTTCATTCCCACAGCCCTAGAGTAATTGAATGAGGAACAATTCCATAACTGAGATATGGTTGTCACTGAGTTATGCTGCAGGTACAACCTTCTATTGATCATAATAATAGATAGGTAACAACGATTTATAAGGAAAAGGTTTAATGATGGTGGAGCATACTACATGTTTCGACAGAACATTGGCCTGTCTTCTTCAGGTCAATCTCCCTAATCATTGGTAAAAAGTTCCCCAAGACTTGTCGGTGGGTTGTGTTGAATATCTGCTTTCCCTATATTATATCACTTTCAAAATTAGGGACGGCTAACAAGTGTATTTTCGCAAAATTCAAAAACAAACTATAATTTTATTATCACACAACCAAAAAGGTCAGATAACGTTATGGAGAACTAATTTGGCAGCTCTCAGATTGTTTGTGAATTAATATAGTAAAATGAAGTAAATATATTCATGCAATTATATATTATTAGTTTTATTTTTAACATTGCTTTAAAGTCCTCATGGAGTAGTATATTGATTCAAGTTAATTATAATATTTTTTGAATAGTTTTGTAGAATGCTATTTTTTGCGACACACTCAATTATTAATCTAAAGTTAAATTACGTTAGTTTATTTAGATTTTTTTTCAATATTATGGATTATAATGTTGTTCTTCAACATACATATTTCGTCGACTCCTAGCGTTTCAAATGCTGTTAGGCAAATACCGATAGGTGTCTCACGTGCAAATGTAAATATTGTTAGTAACTTGTGTTTTCAACACATATGAGTAAAAATTAATATCTTTTCGGAATAATTTAATGTCCAGTACGATTTAAAGTTTTAAGCTGACGATTTTGATGTAAATTCTGAATTATCTTGTGATAATTTAATTTCTAAGGAATGACAAACTAAGCAAGGAAAGAACCATTTGGCCTAGGCTAAGTTAGTCCAAATACCGAACTAACAAGTTACAAAATTACTGCTTTTAAAATTGTAAAAAAAAAAAAGCACCTAGCCCAATATTTGGGCCGTATAGCACAATATTTAATTAAATTAGGACTTAACGTATTTTCTACTACCAAGACGTAAGCATACAAGTACAACTTGCTACTACTAGTAGTATTAGTAGTTAATAGTACTTCACTTGTATTGTTGTAACTTGAACTTTTTCAGTTTTTGCAAAGTTAACTAAGACGAGTACAAATACCTCCCCCACACAAAACTACATTGTGCATATGTATAAACCTAAGTTTTATCTAATTTAAATCTCTAAAAGTAATAACAAACTACTCATTTAATCTCCTAGTCCTAACTAAGAAAGAAAAAGAAAAAAAACTCCAGTGTTGCAGCTTCTAGTTGTATAATACATGAGGTTGAAGGCTAACTATTCCGTAAGCAGACAACAAATTAGAAAAGTAATATTACCTTAAGCTAAAGTTAACTGAAATTGTGTCTGAGCTTTCCATATCTTAGACTTGTGTCCAGTTGCTATAGTCTCAATGTTTGCAGAAATTTTTATTGAAGCTTTATCTTAATGTAAGGATTCTAATCCTTTTATTTTGTTATGGTTTTATTTAACATTCTTTTATTATACCTTCTATCATAAAGTTCAACTATTAATTTTTCATTATATTAAAGTGCTAACCCACCTTCTAGCTAGAGAACATTGGTTTTGAGTATTTTTGTATTATGAAACTGACACAAGGTTCCCCCTAGCAGTGATGTACAGGTAACCTTGTGGATAAACCATTAAGTAAAAACCCTTCCTTGATCTTAAATGAGTTAATTTATGTTATATAGTTTGAAAGAATTATTGCTAATTGTTATTATTATTATTATTGATCTTGAGAAATGGTTTAATTTTGGAATATTGCATTTTTTCAGAATTAGGTTTATTCGTCTTCTGGTTCTTTTTCTTAATTCCATTATTTACTGAAATTAATAACATTGACATTTATTTTATATTGTTTATTAATGTTTGTATCAAGTCCTGGCCAGGCATGAGTTTACTAACTGTTTTGTTTTTGTAAGAGATAAGATTTGTATTCTTGATGTTTGAAAGTTTTATTTTGGACTTCTGTTGTTGTTATATTTTAATAAAATGTTCTTTGTATGACCCTGATTGTAGCAGTATTTTGCCTTAGTATGTTACATCCTTAATCGTTCTTACCCCCAAATCCTTCTTCTCTATAGCAAAAATTTACTTCTGTTAAATCTGCATTGATAATTAACAATTGGAATTTAAGTTTTTATAACATACCTTTATTAAAACAGTTTTACTGTAATTTTTAAGCTTAACCATTAATGTTTAAATGTGTACTAGTAATATTAGTTCTACTTTTTATGGTCTAACAAATTGCTTGAAATTTACTGTTGGACAATTTTGCTGGCTTTAGTCAAGAATGCAGGAAGCATTCCTATAGTAATGGCATATAAATGTTTATAATAATAATATTAAGTATATCTTAATTAATGAATGTTATTTCATTTTATTTGCTACGGTTATATGTATTAATATTACCAAGTGTTTAGGTTTATAAGTGTAAATGTTTTAACTTAGTTTCATTTAAATACTTCACATATAATAAGCTGTGTTATATGTAATTTTCTTGTATTCTGAGACTGTGTACAAATATTCTTAGAAAGAATTAGGAAAGTTGTCCAATATTAATTTTCCATTGATTCTCTAGATCCTGAAGATGAAGTATGGATGCATGTCCAAATGTCAATACTAGTAATGAACTACATTGTAACACTAAATTTGTTATTTTTCTTTAATTGGACACTTAATGTTTCATTTTACAGCTTCTTCAGGAGTGTTTAATTGACAGTAAAAACTAAATGTTTGTGCTTTATTGGAACACTTCTGAAGAAGCTGTAAAGTGAAACGTTGAGTGTTCAATTAAAGAAAAATAACAAATTTGATGTTATAAGGTCATTTTTTACTAGAATTAAAATGTCTTTGATACACCAATATGCACTAAAAAAATTAAATAATGTTCAGATGTTGAATTTTAAAAGTAAAACCTCAAATAATAATTGTTAGATTAACTTAAAATATAAACAGTTATTTTCAATACTTTAAACAGCATTTTTTTTCATCACAGGTGTGACTGGCACTACGTTATTCATCAAACAGAAGTAGAAAGTTACCATACTTTTACTTTGAAATTTGGTGGTTTAGTTTCATCGCAATAATTTTTCATTTTAAAAATGGCCACTACAGTTTTAAGTGAGCCACGTCCTAAAAGAAGAGTTAGCATACCAAGAAATGGCCCTTTCCCAATTCCTCTTAGTCAGTCTGAAGAGAGTGAAGTTTCAAAAGAAGAAACTAAGCCTCAATTTACTAAGACAGCATTATCATGGAAATTTTACAGAGGAGAGTTAGGATCAAGTGGAGTTAAAATTTCAGATGAGTCTAGTATAAATGACTTGAATTTTAAGGTAAACTAGGACATTTTAATCTAAGAGTACAGTGTTTCTGGAATGCAACATGTATTTTACATATGAACTAAAAACATTAAATTTGTTTAATATACTTTATTGAAATGTAATAGCTTCTCCCTTTGTGTATAGTTTACAAGTAAATTTGAACGTCTTGCAGTATACATACACACATTCTTGTTTTTTATTTTTTATATATATAGATTACTTGCCAATAAGTTATTTATTTATGATCTGTCACTATTTTGTTAACTTGGTTCAAAAATGTATGGTATGGTATACCCTTTCACTGTGTCACTAAATTACTTACATAATTATTAGGTCATCAAAAAATTAATGTCGTGTTTTGGAACACTTTCATTAACCATCCCTCAAAAAATTTACATAACTGCCTAAACATCACGTTAATGTAGCCTATAAAATGTATACTCTAATCCCTTATAGTGATGGTACATGACGAGACACACATTTGGCACGTAATGCTGTTTGAATACAAGAAGGGAAATAACATCTTTGTAGCCACAAAGAATATCACAGAAGTTTATAGAAATGTTTTGAATGTTCGTAAGTATCAACAATGGTTCAGCAAATTTTGTTCAGGTGACTTCAGCCTTAAAAACTGTGATGGCAGGGGCCGACATACTGGAATTGATGTTGATGCTCTGAAGATGCTTGTTGAGTCTAACCCAAAGCAACACACTCGTGAAATGGCCCTGAAAATGCATGTCTCTCATGAAATAATGCATAAAAATCTAAGGAATATGGGAAAAACTCCATAAAG